ACAAAAAATTGAACATTCTGCAGACCCATTGGTAGATTGTAATTTATAGATTGATTTTTTTGAAAGTGTTTTACACAAAATATACATATGTTTCATCTATTCTCCCTGAGGATAAGATAAAATTGCAGAAACTATGTTTAGGTTCTTTTCTTATGCAATAATGAATTATACCACCATCATCAACTTAACGAAAACAAAAATATTTACAAAAACGAGGAATGTTTAGTTAATTTATAATCTATTATCACTGCTGCGAGTATGCAATTTTAATAATAATATTATTATACAAACAGAATTGTATTTATAACAATACGTATTCGCATCAGATACACCGTATCATCCACAAACAAGACAAAATATTTTTAATATATATATATATAATCCCTAACAACACAAATAATTTGATAATTATAAGTAAATGGATTTTCGTATAATAATATGCATCGTATATAAATAAATCGTCGATTTACAAAATAGGAACAGAAAAGATAATTTTTCATTGATTGGCGGCTGTTTTGTCTTTTTTATATATTACCTATATGTAAATTTTTTAATACATTTTCCTCCAATGACTCAACTCGAATCAATAACTGTTATTAATAAAAAAAATAAGAAAAAGGCAATGTAAACAACTTCAGACTATTTTCAATCTTCCCGTAGAACGTACGCCTAGCCCTCGATGTGGTGCCTGATTAAAATGAAAAGAAATACATTGCATTTTGTGAGAAGATGCTCTGTAACCTCATTGCAGAAGGACATAAGAATCACGAGAAGCAACAGGTAGATATTTTTTTGACGTGCATGCAAAGCTAAATTGCGAAACCAGGAACATTCACTTCGAAAAGGTCGAAAAAAAATACAGTTACCTATAATAATAAATAGAAATGTAAGAAATAATTAAATACAACAGATAGAATAGTAGAAGCATTGAAATCGCAAATTGTGACGTAATTGTGATATGCTGTTAGGACTATTAATTAATTAAGATAGTGTAAACTCAAGTTTGCAGCGTCGAAAAATTTTGCTCGCTCGGTACCTAATCATGTTTAAAAGTGGAAATGTGTATTTACATATGTCTATGTCTTATTAACAAAGTGACAAATCAATAATTGAAAACACTCAAAGTTTTTCTCTAAATGAGAGAATTTTTGCTATAGAAAAGAACGGTTCGTTCCTAACACTTAGTTTTATATTTAAACTGGTTAGGTTCAAATTAGCTGCAATTGGGATTTTCATTACCCTTGATGACCCAAACGACACATCGAAAATCAGAAATTAATCACGCTTTGGGATTTCAGCCTTTTTTATGTACGATTCTACTGGCTCTAAGGGTGGTAACAGAGAATTGTACAACTTCAAATAGAAAAATACCTAGATGTTATATGTAATCTGAAACAAATTCTCTTCAATCATATTGAAATTCATTTACAAAGACCAAAGTTTTTTTATTTTACTGTGCTGCCTGAATTATTTTTCAAAGTCAACTTCTCCTATTAATTCTAAGAATTCGTTCACATTACAGTATACATGTCTGCAAGAAACTCCTTGCGAGCTTCAGCATATTGGATAATCCTTCTTTGTAATACAAGAAAGTGACAAAAGGAACATACCTCTATTCTTAATACCGATAAAAATAAAATCTATTTCATAGAAGTTCAGCGAACTTAAATTTAATTAGTCATTATTATTATTAGGCAAGGTGGATGTCTATCTACATATGTGTAACTATTCAAAACGAATAAGTAAACGAAAATTGATTTGGATTCTCCAACTTCCTGGATAGACGTTAAAAATAGATCGATCGATGTGAACTGTAACGAAAAGTGTGGGTAGTTTTAGTATCTTTGATCATCGCACCTACTAGTTAATATTTTCTTTATATGATATGTTGTATCTACTTTATTGTTTAACTGTCCTGATCAACCAAACAAAAAAGTTCGTGAATTCATAAGTTTGATCATAAAAAGCCACTGTGTCTGCGAAATCTGTAGTTTCAATTATCCTAGGTTCCTTATTGATTTGTCAGTAAAATTATTTTTTCAAGTGAACAAATAAGTATTTCGATCACTTTTATATTGAAATTAATCAATTTACAAGGAAACCAAAAAAGGGCACATTTAACATCACACTCGCATATAAGTTCAGTTCTGTTTTAATGTATGTTTCACGTTTCAATAACAAGAGAGCAAAGACCTCGTTTAAGGGTGTTTTATTATTTATTGCATATTCGTTTTGACCTATATTCAACCCCTTGGAAATTGTTGATGCAGCTGACATACTTCTTTTGTGCTTTGAGCTTTACATATTCAAACGACGCCACTACATTCTTGAAAAATTCAGTAGCTACATATATGGAATATCTGGGAATATAAGAAGGAGCATGTACTTACCTTTTAATACAAAAAAAATCATACACGATATATTTGCAGGTAGAGTAACATTCTTATTCGATAATGAGCAAATCTTTTTATATGAACGTACAATTGAACAAGAATTTTAGTAGAAATAATACATTTCGTAAAGCTTTTAATATTATCTGATAAGGACGAAAGGCTTATAAGTTTGAGGAGCCCAGAGTCCTACGTAATTCAGTTTCTAATACGTAATTGTAATAAATAATAGTAAATAAGTTAATATTAAAATTAGAAAATTGCATGAATTTACTAAAGTTATCTAAAAGAAAATAATTAAGGATTCTTCTTTTACACCGAATAATTGGATACAAAAGGATCATTTAAATTTTCAGATTTTGTTCCATATACTTATTATCCTCCACCATCAACATATCATCTCTAGTAAAGAATAATCTTGCTCTTATTTTGATATTTACAATACGGACATAATTATTCTGCAATTAAATCTGCAAGCCATTCTACAGTAGTTTCTAATTGACCCTGATTTTTCCAGTGTTTATGCAATTATTATTTTTTTTTTTAGAGCGAAACAAATGTACCTATTATTGATCAATAGGTTCAGCACCTTGAGCTTTGAGAATTACACGAGGATCTTTGCTTAGTAACGATTTATTTTGCTGTCTAGTACATTCTCACTAATTAGACGCTCGTTGTGAGAAAAATCCTGAAAGAATTAACCTCGATATCGACAGGTACCTGCCTGCGTACGTACCTACAGATGCCTAATACATACTAAAACGGCTAGCATCGAAATAGAAAGTTTCGCTTTTTATACGAACCTCTTATTAGAGATAAATTTTTGTAAGTTGTACCTATATCTACTTAACTCAAAGACCGCGATGATTTTTTTTCATCTCGACTGAACCTATTAAAATAAAAGTGGTCGCACATCGATTAAAGATGAAATAAATATCGAATAGATAGTCAATATGCTTACAAAACTAAATTCACTATTAGGAAAAGATGTTTGAGATAAATTTAACTCATAATACCTAAAAGATAAAGTACATTTTACAAGAAGAATTTAGTACAAGAAATTTTTATAAGTGATCACAAACAAAGGTTGAATTCACCACTTTACAGCTGATAGAGTGCAAAAACACAACACTTCGTCCACGAAAAAAGCAAAAGGTTAAACAATTTAGTGAGGAATATTGCGTACAATTTCTTAAAAAATTAAGAAATAAGTGATCTTGCTTGCAAAAAAAACAGTTTTATTACCCGTACAACGCACCAGCCCACAAATGAATTTTGGTAATAAAAAATTTAGAGATTGAATTATGAATTGTTGGAATAATCTCCCTATTCTCCAGATTCCCTTTCCTATGACTTTCATCTATTCCCAATCAAACAAAGAAGCACTACTACTGATATTTTGAAGTGCAGTCAGGGATACAATCCGATTGTAGGAAAAATGTTTGATATTAAACAATAAATGCATTATCAAAATCATTACTACGATGAGAACTTTTCACGATGCCCTCGTATATCGCGTATCTATCGCGCGTTCGTCAAGGGAAAGTTTTTTGTTTACTTTCACTTAATTATTTTTGTAATGTGCGAGATTAGTTTCGATGCAAAAAGAAAAAAAAATGAGACAAGACGATAATTATCCATCAAGTATAATGGTACCACGTAGTGAAAACAATGCGTAAACATTTCAAACTATTATTACGCGACATCTTACTTGCATACGAAAATTCTCATTAGCATAGCTATTAAACTTATTTACACACGTATTTTACGTAGCAAAAACATCCTTAAGCTTCTAATTAGTTGAATAAACAACATTCTTTATGCACGAGTCAAGAGTTTATTACTTTTTTCATGAATAACTAAGTGGCGCCCAAAGAAATATTGCAACTTCCGTTGTAGTAGGATCTAAAAAGCTAAGAAATGATACAAAACGGAAATTTTTTGAAACAATTTGACGATTATTTGTGTGGTGCTTATCAAAACTGAACCTTTTTAATAGAGACCACACCCATCTTTTCGATACTACACTACTGATAACGATTGCAATAGTTACAGCAGTTTAAAAGTTTAAAATGACTGTACTGATAAGATTAACCAAAATTCACTAGCACGAGTTATTATGCCATATATTACGAAGTATAATTACAGTTACACTTTCACTTTTTTCGCGATGCTTTTATTTATTACTTAAACGTAACTCGTCTAATTGCAGTCCCTTTAAATTTCCTCATTTTCCAAAAGGTTAACATATGTAAATGCAATTATATATTGAGAAATAACAAGTACGTACCTACTTTTCATAAGCTTACTGAAGTGTAATGAATGAAATCGTTTCGATGTTGAGGACACATTAAATTAGGACAAAAATATTTTTTACTATTACTTAAATTGAAGAGTTAAACACAAACTTTTAGTTTTTAAATTGACGATCAATGAACTAAACAACAAAAAGTACATTTCAAAAATGAAAAAAATATAGGTACATCAATTTAAAATTCAGAGTAATTATTATCTAAATAATTATCATTCAAGAATCACTATTTTTGCAAACTATTATTTAGTAATTTATGAGTTCAATTACAACATAATTTAAATAAATAATAAACTCACCATTCTATCCCGTTCATCCTCAATTGAGCTAATTAATTTTCCAAATTCGCTGAGAGATCTGGATATGACTCTTTCGTCATCTGTCTGTGTTCCCCCAATACATTCAAAAGTGAATGACTGGAGGCTTTTTGAAAAGGATCTTTGTGCTTGACTTAATTCTGAAACAAACAAAATACGAAATTGTAGACATCACAAAAAAGTCCCTGCAATTAAGGATATCTCAATTATTATAATAAAACTGCTCATCTGCAGTGTGACTTCTTCAGCTTCAGTTGAAAAAACCTGCTTCATACTTTTGCACTCTAAACTTAGAAACAGATTGGGAAATAGGAGAACTTCAAAACTGATACTCTTGTTTAAGTATAACAATGAACATAAATAAATTTTAGACATAACTATTAACCCAACTTTGTACTAGTTTTGCCAAGGACTAAAGGTAATCGAAAACTATAACACCTTGTTTTTTTTGAAATGACAACCAACATGGATCCTCAGGATGTCGTCTAAGGCAATTTAATGAAATTCACCCCAACATCCATGCAGGAAATCTTTCCCTATCTCACCCTTATTCACATATATATATACATAAGAATACAAGAAAGCATCTCCAACATCCTAGCATGGAACCTTTCGTTTATCGAAGGATAAATTTAAATGAAACATAAATATTATGTAACGTAGTAATAATGTCGGTATGCATATGTAATGTAATAAAGAGTTATGTAAAGAATCCACTACCTATCTTTCGTCTTAACTTCAAGGATAATCTTCTCTCGTTGTTTTCAGAATTTTATTCAACATTAGCTGTTCGATTTGATTACATCGCTAATCCCTATTTTAGTAGTAATTTGAAAACTCCTTTTATAGTGGACGATAAAATTGTATAAGGAACCTTTGTTCAAGATTTCAAACTTCCTGACTCAGCGGTTTAAGCTGTTCCTTGATCGATACATCAAACTTTGAACCTTGTTTTCACCCTGAATTTCGCCTAAATTGCAAGTCTCTAGACCCAGGTGTTTGGGCTGTGCGTTGATATTGGATACTTTACCCTTTTATATATGCAATATTTCATTTATGAATTTATTTTGGATGACAATATTTAAAATCAGAAATTCGATTAGTGGAATCGCCTTTTATTATATTAAGTACTTAAAACTATTGTAAGTTCAAGATAAAATTATATTGGAAGCAAACTACACCTGCGGAGATGCCTCGACATTAAGAGAAAATTATGTATTTTGATAGTAACCGCTTTTTGCTTAGTTTTATGTTAACGTTCTGCAATTCTAAAAGAGCTTTTTACTTCTAAGATATTCTGTTACATATGTACAACGGTAATGTAAACCATACATCTGGCAATAAAATTTGCACTTTACTTTCGCGTTTACATTAGTACCTATATGATTAGCAACCCCATTTCGATTTCCTTTGAAGTCGCTCTTTTCCGCGTCAGTTTCACCTTCTCAAGATTCTCCGAACTTGTTCTATCTATAGCGTTTCTATTTAAACTAAAAAGAAATTACCGGTGAACGAAATTATACGTTGTACAGATAGATGACTGACTACCGATATCTCAGCAGCATGGATGATAAAATGCTATAGTTCGACGCTCATCTAAATTGGCACATTAAAATAACGATGGAAAGCAGATTGATCCGTATTGATGGGAGGATTGAAATGTGTGCGGAAACTTTTTCTCATGTTCAGTTGAAGCAACAACTAAAACGCGTATGTCAGTGGCGGCACATAGGTGGAAATAATAAATGAACTATATTAACTCAACTAATACACAGCAGTCGTAATGTAACAGGCAACAATCGATTTTACGGGAGACACTCGGTTGTGAACGTCGGATAACGGAAACCCCGCATAATGTGAACTTCTTTGTTAGTTATTGTGTTTCTCTAATAGAGATAGACGCTTTTTAAATGTAGTAACCAGAGACAGAAGACGGTGACGTCGACATTACTAATGTACTGACTGAAGTCACAAACATTTTGTGTTTCAGTTCATCATTGGTAAACTTCGAATAAGATGCCTCTAATTAGCCATGAAAAAAGGCTTTCTGAATAGATGATCTCGCAAGATGTACCTGTCATAGATGTATCCAGTAAAATAGGGAGTCTGGAGAAACGATTCATATTCACCCTTCATACGCATATCAAAATTTTACGCTTACTATTTGCATTACGTAATTGGTAGAAAACAAAGCTATTCCTTCTTTTTTTTTTAAAAAAAAAAGATAAGGGTAGATGCGTGCCCCAGTGAACTTTTACACTAGCCGCCACTGATTTACGTTGTGAAATAGGCGGTAGCTGTACAGAAGAGTAAAGGGTCGTCGACCCTTGGGAAGACCGAACAGTTTTGGTCGATATTCAGCCGTGGCTGGTGGAGATGGGACGAAGGAAATATTTGCACAGATCCACAGGATCTGAAAGTCACTGTTGGATAATAAAAGCAACGAGATTCGTGTTGTTATTATTTCATTACAACAACATTAAATACAGATTTTGTTTACTACAAGATGCTCACGAGTGTTGACAGCGGCCAGAGTGTGTAAGGAGGCAAGCCAGCTAAAATTAAATCGTTTCAATAGCACTCCGTGTTGTTGTATACATGTACATAAAATAAATATAATGTTACTTATTATTATCGACAGCCGATATCTCGTAACCCTCATCTCGACATAAACTTAATTATCCAACGCTGGTAAACTCAATCGCTGAATGATCGTCTCACAGATAAATAAAGTAAAACATTTACAGCACAAATGATGGTTTCATCTAATCAGTAGTAAAATACACAAATACCTAGTTAGTATTGTATATGCATGAAAAAAGGGGTCAAAGGCGTGTAGGTACTACTTAAGGACAAAGGATTCCTTAAAATGAGCTTTTCTTTTATTGACCTGAAAATTAAGTTTGATTCTCTTAGACTAGGAGCCGAGAGACGTTTTGAGTACGGAAAATATGAGGAAAGAATTTCGCAAACGAACTACACTTTAATTCAGTACGCATAAATAATTAGCAAATGGATATTGGCAAGCAATCTCATTCCGCAATTTCTCTTTACTCTTTGACATGCAAATTTTCACAAGAAATGGCAGATTTATAACTAATTCACTTGCTCTGAGGTGAAAGAATAACAATATTTGGCAGTAATAGAAGCTTGTATGACATGTTAATAAGAGTAGATATCACTTGAGATAAAAAATTAATTGTTTATACCAAAAGCCAGCTCAAAATGCATGATTAGGCGTAGAGTACCATTAATACTAATTTTTATAGAGGATAAAGAGGTTTAAAAGCATAATTTTTTTGGAAATGNGCTTGTATGACATGTTAATAAGAGTAGATATCACTTGAGATAAAAAATTAATTGTTTATACCAAAAGCCAGCTCAAAATGCATGATTAGGCGTAGAGTACCATTAATACTAATTTTTATAGAGGATAAAGAGGTTTAAAAGCATAATTTTTTTGGAAATGGATTATTACCTACGTTAAATTCATATCAGTTATCGCGTTAATAAAAATGATTTTTTGTATCTAAGCTATAAGATTCATTAAAATTAAGATTAAATCCATGAAATAATTAGTCAGAGGATAACGATTTTTTGTATCCTAATTTACAAGTCATTTAAGGTAGGAGTATGCCTATGAGATAGTTTGTCAGCGGGTCTAAGGGTTATTTATACGGTGACCCTTCAATATGAAATTATTATTTTTCAGTGGAATTTTTTCTTGTCTCAATAAATTTTTGTATCCTACCTTTACGAGTTATTTAAGATAAGATTATGCCTATGAGATAGTTTGCCAGCAGATTTAAGGGTTATTTATAGGGGACTAAACCCCTCAATACTAAATTATTATTTTTTAGTGGAAGAAATACAAATCGTAAAAAAGAAATCTTATTACAGCGATGGGTAAGAACTTTTGTTTCTTGACTTTTAGGCTCAACCAAGTGCTTTCGCTAATAGCTTTTAAAATAAGTATTTTCATATGTTTTGTTTGATCAGTACAATCTGAATTATGTAAACTGAACAATAATACTTTAAATATTTATTTTTTAGTAAAAATTTCTATAAACATTACGACTGTTTTCTGATATTTTTAGTATCTCTTTCTTGTTATTCCTATCAATTAACAAAAAATTTGAAAAATGTACAGGTAGAATGATAATTTTGCATTATTATCAAACAAAGGACAAAAGCGAAGTCCTGCAGTAAACACAATAAACTGTTCATGTTTACCATCAATAGTTGCTTTGCAATCAAATTGATTTAATTTTTGTCATGGTTAACAGTGCATGAAGGTTAAATGGAAAATGTTATAGCTGATTTAAAAATATAAATAGCCTAGCAACATCCTTACATATGCGTACTATGTACTCGAATGACCATTAATGGTCCAATAATTTCTGTATCTTTGTTGTTAACACATGACGATTTAAATTTATTATCTAACTTAAATTTTATACGTTTGGTGCATAAATAACACCGAAAACCGATCAAATAAATATTTTAGGGTAGATATGTAATGTGAATGATATCGTTATGTTTATGGAAGATAAATAAATCCCTTGACAGTTAAGAAGTTTGAGATAAGGGATCCTTCTCTATAATTTTCAACGAGACTTGGAACTGTTATATCTGCCTATCGGGGGGGGGATGAGAGATAGTAATTTACTACTTAGAACTGACATGATAGATAGAGGAACATTTATACATATTAGTTTACATTGTTGGTTATTACAATCCACTGTATAGTAATTGCTAATCGTAAATACAGAAAATTAAACTCAAATATGGCGATATGGAATCTTTATTGTTCTTTTTGAGAAACAAATATGCGACTCATGAAACAATTTCTGCGCATTTTTATAAACATGAGCCCCTGGAAGAATTTAAAATATCTTCAGGAAAATAAAGAAACCAAAATAGAATATTGAAAATAATAAATAAGAATCAATTCATATTGGATAATAATCCACTAAATATTAGACAGATATTTTCTTTTGAATACTTGAAGTATTGAAATGTAGATCGAAGTAATACATTTATCAGTACAAGAAATAAAAGTATATTATTACCTCTCAGAATTAAAACTGTTAGTGTGAAAAGTAGTCAAACAAATGCAATAAAGCTATTTAATCAGCTG